GCTGTGTAGACAACCATCATACTGGATTTCTATCTTTGTAAGTACTAATTTTCCATTTTCTTATCCTCATGCTTATCAATTTCAATGATAGATCAAAAGTTGTTGACATAATTATCACATCGTTTAAAATTGTTGATTCAGGTCAACCAAGAGATCAGTTACAACTTCCACATACACTTTTTTTTTTCAAAGCTAATCTTGCGTTCCCAAATTTTCAGCTTATGGTTGCAGCTGGAATGGGTCCAATAATGGCACTGAAGTACTTCAGATATACATACAGATCAAGCAAAATTAATATACTGCAGCAGGCCGAGCGTTTGGGAGGGCCAATTTTGTCATTGGGGCACATAGAGCCATCATCAAGAACCTCCATAGAGAAAGATTTGTCTCCTCTATCAATTTCTCAATCCAAAAACAGAAGCCCGGTACACGAACCCCTCCTCTCGGACTCTCCAAGTGCTACAAGACGCTCTTTCGGGCAAGCTGCTGCTGCGCCATTTGATTTCTTTCCATCACAGTCCCGTTTATCATCAAATTATACCAGAAACTCCAAGGATAAGTGAGTTATGAATTTATGACAGATCTTTTTCCCTTCCTGTTTTGAAATTTATTCTTCATTGCCATGCAACGTATATGGGATTATGGGTTATTGAATAAAAAGATGTTGGGTCTTTTCTTGGACCATCTACAACCTCATATGTTTTCTATTCATTTGGAGGCTAACTTTTTAGTGATATTTATTCACTTACATTGTAGTACTCCAGGTATTCGTTTATATTTTTTCCAACCTAATGACGTACAAAGAGCTAATGTCTCCTCTGTTGGGTTTCTCCAAGAATCTTGTGGATGAGTTTCCTACCACTCAAGTAAAGAGAAGTTCTTTTGCAAGCTAACTTTGATCTAATTACTATTTCCTCTGTCTCACAAAAGTGTTTTCCTTTCTTTTTTCATACATCTCAAAAAATATTTCTCATTTCTCTTAAAAAGTCTCTTTTCTCCCTAATAATTCTTCGGCTAGGTTCTAGAGCCACTCAAAAAAGTGGCTATGGAAGCCACTCACCCAATTGGGACACCTACGGTGCTCCGTTTGTAAAATTGATAGTTCCTATCCCTCTTTAACCCCCAGTAAATCCCCCCCACCTGGTCTCAATCCCAACTCATCCCCTTAACCATGTCAATTGCGGGGTTTGACTTTAAAGTCAATTATACTTACGAGGTGCAATTGGCGTAGGTGGGGGGATGATTTGGGGTCGGGACTTGGCGGAGGGTTTACCGGGGGGTAGGAATCATCAATTTTATGAACGGAGCTTCGTAGGGGGGCAGTGGCTTCCGTCGCCACTGTAACCCGGTGGCCACCGAACCAGGCCTCTCATTCTTAACATATCTTTCACATCACATTTTTTCACTATTAATCTACCCTTTGCATCCTAGTCTTACCCATCACATCCATGGGTATTTTTGGAAAGCCAACATTAAAATACACTCTCTTTAAATCTTTTAAAAGTAAGAAAATAGAAATGTTCTATGGGACGGAAAGACTATCTTCTAATTTTTTTTCTCTTTTATTTACATTTTATTTCTGCTCATCCCAATGTGAATTTCACCCTTTTCTCATTTTTATAGATAGGATCATAGGAATATGTGCCTTATAAATGTTATTCTCTCTGTCTCAAAGTATTTGCATACGGAGTATTTTTTATTTTTTTATAGACAATCAAGATTGATTTTTTTACTTATAATTAAATAAGAATTACATGGTATATTAAATAGATAAAAACACATTTTGAAAAATATTTACGAGACGAAACAAATAAAATTGTTATTGTATCATAATATATTTTTTTAACTAAGGATTAAAATTTATCAATTTTGATCGGAAAAAGTCAAAACATGATAAATAGTATATTGAGTTTAAACAAATTCTACGTGAACATTTTTCACCTTGTTTACAACTTTTTTCTAGATTTTGTGAAATTAAAGTGAAAAAATCGTTTTGGAAAAGAAAAGTGGTATGGAGTATGTTGTAAGAACATGCTTGAGGTCCTACACAAGGAAATTATGTTTTAACTTATCACACCAAGATTTAATTCCTGAGAAAAACACAAAAGCTTTTCTGATCAGTGCTTGTCAGAAAAATTCAACGCTTAACCGTACAGGCTCTGCCATTAAGCCATCTGTTTTTCATTTATATAATACATGGTCGCCGAAAGCATTTTTGTGGGAAGGACACTTGTACTTTTTATTCACATAACAAGTTAATCTCCACACCTAACACAACTAATTCATCTACCTAATAAAATTAATCTCTCTACCTAACACAATTAATCAATCCACCGAATATAATAAATCACACTACCTAACACAATAAATTTCTCCACCTAACATAATAAATCCCTCCACCTAACATAATAAATTCTTCCACCTAACCTAAAATATCCTGCACCAATATCCTGAACCCATCGACTATATATTTGGGCTTAACTATCACAATGTCACCACCAAATATCATTCAAATACACTCTTTCTACTCACTCATTACTCCTTACATTTCCAAAAATGGCCTTTGATCATAGCTTTATCATTGGAATGGTGAATTCGGATTCGAGAACAATGAGATTTGAGTACTCATTGCATTCAAACAAAGCATTTGTCTTTGATCTTGATGTGTCATTCAAGGAAATCTTCAATGAACTCCTCGATGTTGTTAGTGAAGATAATCTAATTTCAATCAAGAATATTTGGGGAAAATATCCCAAATACAAGGATGGAGTATATGCTGCATCACGTCCTTTTCCAAATCCCGAAGAACGAACATGGAGGTGTTTCGTTCAAAACCAAGTAATACAGTGAACTTGAGGTTTACCTAGAGGCACTCCAAATCGGAGGCCAGGTTCCCGGTGAAGAAGAAATAATTGCATCACAAGAGGAGGAAATGGAGGAAGAACAACACGACCACCACCAAGAACAACAACAATTGGGGGGCATTATTTTTCATGGGATGAGGCAGGTTTGACACGCCACAAGACATGGGTGACGAAAGCGACCCCGACAATCCAACGTACATTGGTAATTCTAAGGATGAGAGTTCTTCCGATGAGTCTAAAGTATCTTGGTGGGTCTCTATGTACACCCCGGACGTGTACGTAGAGGAGCCTACTAATGATGACGCAGTGCGGTTTTAGGACTTTTCCGATCCACAGGCCCGTTGAACAAATCTCTCTACAGCCGACGTTCTGTATCCCTGAAACTGAGATTGACTATAAGTACGCTGATTTCAAAAGTCTGCAATTTGCGGTGTCCCTTTGCAATATTGCAGACCATAGACACTTTCGCACTTCTTCAAAGCGTCAAAATTATTGGCTAGCAAAGTGTATGTATCTGGAGTTGTGCCCATGGCTCATCGAGGCTGCGGAGGTTGCTTCTGTTTGGACTGTCAAATAATACAGAAGTCAACATTTATGTAGACCAGACTACTCCAAAGAGAAGAATGATATCCTTATTACAAGCGAACTTATTTCTAAAATTATATTCTCCAAAATTGCGGCTGATGTTGATTACAAGGTGAGGTACATTATTAAAGATATACACGACTTATTTCAAGTATCTATAACGTACAAGAAATGTTGGTTGGCTAAGTTGAATGCAATCCAACGGTTGTACGGAAGTTTTAGCATAACAAAGTTTTACCTCTACTAGGGGCATGGGAAGATTCGCATAACAAAGTTTTACCTCTACTAGGGGCATTGGTTCAAAGTAATCTCGTGTCAGTGGCCGAGATACTAATGCGGCCAACAACATCACCTAAAACGTTTCAGTTCATGTATAGTTTCTGATCTTTCAAGGCATCCATTGACGGGTTCAACTACTATTTTCCCGTGGTCTCTATTGTTGGCACCCGTTAGCTTGCAGTAGCAATGACGGCAAATCACGAGATTTACCCGTTAGCTTATTCCCTTATTGACAAAGAAGACGAGTTGGAGTTGGTTCATGATGCATTTAATGCGTCATGTAGTACCTGTTTCTATGCTAGTGTACATCATTTCTGACAAGCACGTGGGAATTGACGTAGCTTTCAATTCAATCACCTAGTTAAAGGAAGAACGTGTCACTCGGAGATATAAAATGAATAACATAGTATTAGTGTTCAAAATTTAAAATGTAATACTACGTATATCTAATGAGTGAAAGTATAAAATATAAGAATTACAGTATAATAGAGGCTCTACTCTTAATAAAAAAGATAACGGTATAATTGCTTCTCTTAGAGCACTGGCAGTGGTGTGGTTGTGCCACTGCCACGCCTGCCACATAAGCCAGATTAGTAATTTGCCATGCGAGGCTGAATTGATTTGCCATGCTTGGCAAGTCAAGGGCAAGGCAAATGTACTCTGTTTTATTGTTTTTTTTCTCCATAAAATAAAACATTTTTAAAAAGTATAAGTATTTTTTTGGAAAATAATATAAGTAAATTAATTTCTAATACTCTGTAGTAAAAATAAGAAATATGTAAAAAAACTGTAAAATTTATAAAAACCTAATTTTTTTATTTTTTGTTTATTTTTTTTAAATAAGAAATATTTTTTTAAAAAAGTAAAGTTTATAAAAATATAAAAAAAATAAATATAAATAATTTTGAAATATTTTTATTTTTTTAATTGAAAAAAATATAAACAAAATAAATTTAAATATTTAAAATATGTAAAAAAAGTAAAATTGATAAAAACAATGACTTGTCACTGCATGACATGCCACTCCACTCCCGTGTCACACGTTGACTGGATTATTTTTTATTGGTTGAAACTTTTCATGTCAACGTGTGTCATTTTATTTCTTCTTTGCCATTGTGAATGCTCTTATAACTTATGTCTACCACTCTCTCACCATACCATTTGGGAATGGATTTTCAAAATTCTCACCCATCGAGAAAGGAAAATGCTAGAGGTACACCAAAAGTGTACCCTTAATATCCCTACACCTCCATAACCACATAAAAAAGACAAGTAAAATTCAAAAAAATTTAAAACTAAAAACAAAATAAAATGAAGTAAAGAGTGGGTGGTGTAGCCGTGTAGGGGTACACAAGTGTGTACCCCGAAATCACCAGTTCGTGCAAATTTCCATCTTCCAGCGGCGCAGCTTCCGGTCTTGCCAGCGCGGATCTTCGTCGACGACCCAGCACCGGCACCGGCATTTCATCTTCTCCCATCCGGCGATTCTTCTTCCCCGCTGCAACTCCGGCTATAGGTATGATTTTGTTTCTTCTTTTTTTTTCAATTGTTAGAAATCTGCTGCTTGAGTTCACCCAGCTCCACTGCCGGCGGGTTTTTTGCAATTCCGGCCATTGAAGACGGTTCTCCTTATATAAAATTCAATCTTGATTCAATCATGTCAGTTTCTGAAACCATTTACATTTTCTAAATCTCTCTAACTTATCTATCTGAACAAATTCTAGCATAGTCCAAAATTGTTTCAACTTAGTCTTTATAAAAGTTACCCAATTTAAGGGTGAAGTCTATTTTCTCATTTAATGACTTTATTTCAAACTGGTCATAAGTCAAAATGTATAAACCTGAATTCTTCATAAAATATATTGTTGGATTGATTTGTATCTTCGAGACTGACCCAACAAAATTAATTCTAACAACAAATCCCTACATTGAAAATCCCTTCATTTTTGGTCAACGACAGAAATAATAATTTATTTTTCCATCATTTCTAATGGAGCCAAAGATTCACCCTTTTTTGGCTTTGGGGTATGCCGGAGTAAAGCAAAATGGCTCTTTAAATTGCATACGCTTATGTTAATATAAACAATTAGTCAATGCAACTTTCGACACTCATCATGGGTCTGGAAACGACCGCTCTATGTTTTAAACAACTAGGGGTCTTTTTGGAAACCAATTCTTTACTTTCAAGTAGAGGTAAGGTTTGCTTACGCACCCTTCCCAGACCCTACTCTTGTGAGATTCAACAGAGTTATTAATAGAAGTAATGATTTATTGGGCCAAAATATGATTTCAAAAATACCCTTATAATATACTCCGTAATAAACTTTTAGGGTATGTTTCAGGGCGTTACAATTACGTTTTTGTTCCTCATATTATTAGTTGTCAAGAGCTAAGGTGCAATTCCATGTTACTTAGGTTATCAAACCCGAATGAGAAACAGAGAGTAGAATGAGTCGGCTTGCCAATATTGAAAAACATGTTCTTGGTCAAATTCAGAAGCTAGAATATGATAAAGCACTGCTGTTTATCGAGGCATGCTTGGAGCGGTGTACTGGTTATTCGAGAGAAAAAGACGAAGAGCAGTGTACTCTCTACGAGCTGCGTGCAATGGTCTACAATAATAAAGAAGAGAGTGAAGGTATATTAGTAGTTATTTCTGCGTGTAATAGTTACCAAGTCTCGAGTTGTGGAGTATGCTATAAGTGAGTAAGATTAATTGCTGTTGTGTTTCTTAGGGTTTGATCTCATTCTCTTTACATATTCCCTACAAATTGTACCTTAGAATTTAACTCTGATCATGCTTGGAATATTGTATCTTCACTTCTCAATACCTCATTCATATTTGTGTCTTCTTTTTTTTTTGTCTTGTTTTTTCCATGCTTCACACCAGCTGCCCTTGGGGAGGCTTGGTTAGCTTTTAAGACTCACAGAAAATACCGGAGCTTCTTCAAGTATTCAGAAGTCGCGAACATTATTGGGTAATGACATCTTTGTTAACGAAATATCAGTTTTAAACGTGCCATCGGGTTTTCCTTTTTTGATTTGAAATGCCCTGTTTTTGGTCTTTTTGTTGTATAGGGAGTATATCTTGGGGCAAGAAGAATTTGGCCGTGCCATCAGTTTCTTTGAAGATGCAGTCGAGCATGCTAGCAAGGATAACTGGAAAGAAAAGTTCAATAGCCACTTGTGTGTGCTATATGAAGCTCGGAAGGAATACACGAAATCCAAATGCAAAAGTGCGAAAAAGAAGGCTGGTCCCGTGCAAGATACAGGTGAATCTTCCAAAAATACTGATACCAGGTCGATTGCTGCCCCTTTGCCTTTCATACACAGTCTCTTTACTTCTCTGTTTTGTCCATTTTCGGTCGATTTTCTTTGTTTTTGGCATGAAGATGTTGAAGCTTGGTCGCGTGTTGGCGTGAAACATAATCTCATTAGCATATTTGAAGCTAGTGATGTTCTTAGAGCGTTTTGTGCACGTTCATCTATATATCGTGGCGCTATTTGTTGAACTTTGTTGTGTTTATATTTCTGCAGTACTCAAAAAATTGAAGCCAAGGCTGAAGTTTCTTCTGGATAGCATGCAGAGGTTTTGCTTCTTGGTCTTAAAATCCTTGTGTTTATCATTGATATATGTTTTATTAGATATTGATACGAAAATAGTTTTATTAGATTTATTATATCAAATATTTTCAAAATATTATTTTATCAAATTAATATACAATATATATTTTATTTAATTATAGGTCAAAGGTTGAAAATAGTTGATCGAAAAAGTCAAAATTAGACAAATAGTCAGGGACCGAGGTAGTAGCTCTCATTTAGGATAATTAAGCTCGAAATTCCTATTTTGGGCATTTAAATCTCAAATTACTCCTATTTGTGTCCTTTTCCCAAATATTAGTGGATGCGAAGGGTATTTTGGACAATTAACTTGTGATATATTGCTTAAAAGTTGATCTCTAGTTGCACCATGAGGGCGTGTATTCAAGGGACTTAAAAAAGCTAACGTTGAGGCCAATCATGTATCTTTTTTAAAAGTATAAAGACTAACGATGTATTTTTAAAAATTCCGTAAAAAATACTTCCTCCGTCCCTAAATAGATTACAATTTTTTTTCCTCTCCTCTCGATAACTTTTGTTTGTTTACGCGATTTCATTAAATATTTGATAAAATACAATATTCTAGTCACTTCTTGTTTTGTAGAACTTTTGACGTAGTTTTTTAATATGTAATTTTTATATCTTATTGATATACCAATTTGTAAATAAAATGATTTCAAAAAGTAAAAAATTTTACTTCGTAATCCGCAATTTGTAATCTATATAGGGACGGAGGGAGTACATGTTTTTTGAAGAGCACTGGGACACCTTAGAATTATTTATTAAATCTATGAATTTCAATTAGGGTCCGTTTGGGATACGGAATGAATAGAATTAGAATTGAATTGGAATTGAAATTCCATGAGATTCAATTTCATAGAATTGAATTCACCAATTCTAATTGATTTTTTGCACTATCAATTCCAAATTCGCATAATTTTTGTGCTACCAAACAGCAGAATTAGAATTGAATTTCTCAATTTCAATTTTATAGTTTGAATTCCATGTACCAAATGAGGTCTTAGTTAAAACAATAAAGAATAGGAGTTATTGTGTATATCGAGACACGTATCACCAATATCTATACAAATGAGAGGTTCAATTGACCTAGGAGTTGTTTCAAAAAAAAAAAATTGGCCTAGGAGTGGTTTAAGATTCTATATGTGTATAATGTGCACGCTTGTAAAAAAATCAGGTGCTTCAGTTTTAGCACAATAACACTAAAATTCTATTGGTTAATTTTACGTAAAGTACCTGAATTTTCAGCTTTTTTTGTTTTGGCACCTAAACTTTATTTCGTGTCACAAAAATCTCTCACAAAATGTTAAAAGACTATAGAATGGAATGTTTATATATGCTCACAACTCTAAAATTTAAAACGGAATGTAGATCTTTTGATCTAGTTTGGGTAGTAGCTCTTAATCTAGTTTGGAATGTTTTATATCTATTGTTTTGTGTTTCGAATAAAAAACCAATGAAGTAAAAAGAATTATTGTAGATTTCATTTGTCTCAAATTATGTATTTTTGTTTTTGTGTCCAAAAAAGTCTTTATTATTTAATTTTCATGAAACAAAAATCAATGAAATATTTTTTTTGCAATGAAGCTCATTTTTTTATTTTCTACTCCCTCCGTCCCATAAAATCTTTCTCCTTTCTTTTTTCATCCGTCCCATAAAACACTTCTCATTTCTATTAAAAAGTCACTTTTACCTCTTACTTTTTCATACCTTACCTATCACATCATATCTTTTTACTAATAATGTACCCATCAAATCCTACTTTTACCCATCACATCAAAGGTCATTTTTGAAAATTCAATACCAAAATACACTCCCCTTAAATCTTTTTAAAAAGCAAAACATCTCATGTTTTATGGGACGGTGGGAGTAGTTTTTTCTTCTTTTTAAGTTTTTTTAAAAAATTAATATTATAACGACTTGTTTGTGTTAATCAAATTAAAATAAAAAGGAACAAAATTGAAAAGAAAGTAATTAGATCTAAACCGATTGTAAAATAAAAAGGAACAAAATAGTTTTTCTAAAACAAAAAATGGGGCCTCACAAAAGTGGGGTTCTTGAGCAAGTGTGGTTGGTTATTTGTTAAAACTTTCGTCATGTTGGTATTAAATTGAAGTTTAAAAGTATGATTTCATATTGATCCAAAGTTTGATCATGTAATATTATGGTGTCGGTTTGACGAACAACAAACAACAATGACTATTGCTAGGGACTTGGGTTCCAAACAAAAATGACCGTTGTGGACTATGATTACAGTGGCGGCGACTCGGGTGGACAAACGACACATCAATGGTGACCTTTGATACATATATATTGGCTATGAGAACAAAAATGAAAGGCACATGCGAAATAATTATACTTTGTTTTTATATTTGAAGTTATTACAAACATAATACGGATTTACACCGAGGTCTATGGGGGCTCGGGACTCTGTGGAACGTAACTTAACGTTGGTCTGCCTCTTCGTGCCACACTTACGCTGCTGACTGATTGTTGTTGATTGGTTGAAATATTTTATATCATTGTGTTTTATTTTATTATGGTTTGTACTTCTCAAATACACATGACAACATAAACTATTTGGCCATTTGAAAAAAAAGAGAGTCTAATGTGATACATGAAAAACATCTATAAAGATTCAAATTTCATTCATCTACACAACTCCTGTATTTTGCCTCATCATTATATTGGCCTATTTAAGGAAAACGCCACGTTTCAAAACAGAGCAACACGTGTAAACCATAATGGGGAAAATGCCACGCATAGCTACATTTCTTTCTAGAACCATGCTACATTTACACCAAAAAATGCACCCATTTGTACACCACAGTTATGCACAAACATTTTGATGGTTTACACCGACACAAGTGTTGGTGCGTTAATAAAAATTTACACGGACACAAAGTGTTTGTGCGTTAACAAAAATTAGTTTTACACCAACATTGGATACAAATTGGTGTATAAATGTTGGGGTACACATAGCTTAATCCTTCTTTCTATTTTCTTCCACTACCTATAAAATCCCATGCACCATCTTCTACTTACGTAAAGAACACTACTTCATAATTGTTAGACCGGAATATAAAATTAAAAGGACAGAAGTAGAAATAAACGCCGACCCATCTGATATATATGGCGAAGAACAAGCGGGACATAAAGTACGGCACCGCGCAGGCAAGGTTGTCGGAGGACGACGCCGTTCGAGTCGGCTACATAGGCGGCCAGCCGCTCGAAGGCGGCAAGATCGCCGACTCGCAGCCCGTGGAGCTCTTCTCCAGTGCTCGCAAGCCGTCGTCGGATAATAAGGAGGCCCATCAGGCTGGTGACGATCAAGAACGTAACGGCGGCCGCAAGATCAGTTGAAATAATCGTTGAGAATATATATATTAACTCGGTGTACCGGAAGTGATGAGATAGATTGTATCTGCTTTTAATTTGGGGTTTTACGGTCTAGTTTCACTTTTCATAATCAAATAAGATGATATTGAATCATCAATTAAAACAAAAATTAAAATACTTGTATTACATATAGTAGATTAATACAAAATGATTTTATCAAATTTGCTTTGTTTGCAAATAATTTTGTGTGTGTACACACTCCCTCTGTCCACAAATAAACTTTCTGTTGCGTTACGATGTTTGATTGAAGTGATTTCTAAATCATTTTATATGAAAAATGGTGTAAAATTTAAAAATATAAATTACATATTAAAAAACTATATCAAAAAATCTACAAAATTAGAGGTGACATGACTATATTATTTTATCAAATGTGTCACGAAAATAGGCCAATAAAGTGAATAAAGTTTAACCATGTAAATTGTGAATGAGAAGTTTATTTGTGCACGGAAAGTGAGAATTAGAAATTAGGGTTATGCGGGTGTTGTTGCACGCTTGATGCTCTCAATAGTTAGAACGTACTTGAGACCGAGTAGGGGTTCAACCTTCTCCAATGAAGACTTTTTGGAGTTTGAACGTGGCTTTTAGTGGTTGTACCTGCAAAATAGCAGGCTTGAGCTTGAGATTTTAGGGTATGGGCCAAACTTGGGCTTTATAAATGACGGCCCAAATATTTTAGGGCCGTGCTCGAATTTTATGCTCAAGCCCATGGATTGACCTGAACGAATTAAAATATTTATTACTAGTATAAATATAATAAAATAATAATGACAACTTTAATATTAATGATAATAAAAAGAATAATACTATTTAAAATTATTTTACACATATATTCATATTTCTATGAAAAAAATGAATTATGAGTGTATTTAATAAAATGAATACATTTTTATTACTTCCTATTGTTTACTACCTACCACACATTGATAATAGTATTTCAATAAATAATAATACATCATACTTCATAAGTTGTGGCAATAGCATATGAAACACATTTTATACATTAGTTGTTCTTTTATTTACTCATTATAATTATTATATCAAATATCTAATGCATTAACACATTACTCTATTTAAAAAAATATTTCTTTAGTTCTTTAGCAATTTTTGTTATACAGGACCAGCTCGAAGCCCGCGGTTATCTATGCGTGTCAGGCTCGGGCTTCAATTCTTAGGCCCATTAAACGGGTCCAGTAAAAATTCTCGTAATTTAACATCTCGTGCCGACGAGCACTTTGAAGAGGTCTATTGACATGTACAAAAAATCAGTCTTATTTTTGACAAGGGTCATGCTACACCAACACAAAAAATTATATCTCATTTGTACACCGTAATTATACACAAACATTTTGATGGTTTACACCGACACAAGTGTTAATGCGATAACAAAAATTTACACGGATACAAAGTGTTGCTGCATTAACAAAAATTAGTTTTACACGAACAGAAAATGTTGGTGTAAAAGGACAAAATGGGTGCTATGGTACAAATAGCTTTATCGGACAAAAAAGAAATGGAGTAGTTCAATGATCACTGCACTCGATATTTTTTCTTTATCTGTCCTTGCCCAGGTGAGACATGAGCAATGCTTCTCTTCCCCTCTCTTTCTTTGCACCTTGCTGATCTAGCCGGATTCCCGCCGTCGTCCAGCGCAACCGGTGACCGGAATGCTCTCATCACCTCTTCACCGGTCATACGCAAGCGACATTACCTGAAATCCAGGCCGTGTTTGACCCGGACGGGAGCTATGAAGGGCTGGCAAGAATACGACCAAGCCGTGAAGGATAAAGACCTCACCAGAGCTCTTCGGTTCCTCAAGGAGATCCCTGTCCAGCCAAAGGAGGAAACTTGGATGGACCCGAATGGGTACCCGAGTGAATTGGATTGGGCACGGGCCGCTCGGCAAGAGCGCAATTGGGGGGTTTTGGATACCTGCTTGAATGCGGATGATATGAGGCTTGTTGCGAATGCCTATGGTTTTCTCAAGGACAGGGATCTCTTGCCCAATTTCGGGAAATGCAGGAGCATAGGTAAGCTTCTTCATTTATAGTTTTTTTTTTAAATTCTTGTGTACTTGTTTTGGGGAGACCATGGGAGCTCGATCCACCCGAGGCCTAACACTCAAGACCAATAATTTTCCACCCCGGAACCAATTGACAATAGGAGAAGCAGAAATTCTATCCTACAATGGCAGGAATGTGAAGACTTTAAATTAGTGATTCGATTAGTTTGTGATTATCGAGCATTTAAGTTTTCTTTGGCGTGCAAAATTGTACATATAATGGTCAGTCATCTGTGTTTCACATCTTTATTTTAGTGAACAGTTTCTTTCTTATTAATGGGCATATAAGTTTCTATTGAGGAATGGTTGTACCGTTGTACGATACTCATCTGCATACAGTTGTGGCATAGAAAAACTCTAAGATGTGTTGCCTACTGATCTTATACTACATACGTTAGTTCTTACTTATTCTTGTGATGTGGGATACCAGCTTCATGTGTGATAGCTCTGGCATCATAAGAGACCATTCAATTTATTCATTTCCTGCTTTGTACTTGTTTTTAATCATATCACACCACATTATTAACCTGGATCACATTCCAACAAGAGTCTCAATCAATTTTATTCACAATTTGTATGGGCACTTTTTGTTCCGACCGTAATGAATGGATATTACAAAGATGAGCATTTACTTCAAAGGTAACCGGCATTACAGAGAGGTACTTAAGGCAGTTGTGGTGATCATGCTCTCCTCGTTTGCTGTGATATAAGACAAATTCTTTACCTTATTCATTTTTCTTTTTAAACCCAAACACATTTTGTAAATTCTCGGAGTTCTATGTTATTGAGGTGAATTGCCTCAATGCCCATGGAGTCGAGATGGAAGACTTGGCAGCTGTGTTCGTGGGACAAGGCATTTGTTGGGTTTCTTTGGTATCCAGTTCAGTTGCTACTAGTTCCAATGTTTGAGAAACCAATTTGTGTACCATGACCCATGTACGACAACATTTGTTGGGGAAGAACATCATCATCCAATTGTTACATAGCATTCTATTGTTTTCTTCAAAATTTTCACTAAAGTTGTCTGTGTCTACCGTTTGCCCATTTTACTATTGTACGCAACTAAGAGAAATTTCCAATCAATGCAGTTTTGGAAGGCACAAGAGATGTAACACCTACATTACTGAAGTCTTTGACTGGCTTAGATGGTCAGTACATACATGCATATATATTACTCTGTTTCATTTTAATTAGAAGATTTACTTTTATTTTTAACGTTCTCAAATTCATGCTCTAGTATTTTGAATGTAAAAATGCTCTAATCACCTGACAATAAAATATGTAAGTTGAATAAAGTGTTTTGGGCCTGATATGCCATCTACTAAGCCACATTCTACAATCTACACTAAATTGAATATCAAATCTTCACATTGATATAACTCATCAGTCATAAACAAATGGTAGAAGTGTTTCAAGAATCCCATCTGCATGATATGAATTGTTTAGTTGCAAATGTTCAGAACTAGAGCTACACACTTTCATGTTGTCTTTGCCTACTTTTAAAATAAAATGGCCAGTTTAGGTAAATTTATGTTCAATTCTTCTTGTTTCAGTGAGAAAAATTTCACCCAAAAAGTGGGGTCTTTCAGGAAGCTCTAGCTTTATTTTGATTGCATTGCTTGGTGGAATCTCTTTTCTGGTAAATCAGGGAATAGATATCAGACCTAACATTGCCACAGTACTGGCCCTGACAATGCTCGATGCTAAATTTCTTGGAGGCTCTTTTTTAGCTCAGATCTCAAGCTTTTGGCCTCCTTATAGGCGCCGAATTTTAGTTCATGAAGCTGGACATCTTCTTGTGGGTAATCCCCTTTTCATTTTCTTATGTCCATACTCGATCTTTTTATTCTTTTATGTCATTAATGTGTTCTGAAGATATCCACATAATGTGCAATTTTATCTGGTATTTGTATTCATCCAGATAAAAATTTTCTATCAAATTTGTATTCATCACCTTGCAAGCTCTATCAATTTTTTCTGTTTATTTTTTTGATTTTAAGTGGAAGTATGGAACTTTACTTGCTCTCTAGAGTCGTAGGATCACACAATCACCAATGCATTCTAATATGATCTTGTAGCTTACCTCATGGGTTGTCCAATTCGTGGTGTTATTCTTGACCCCATTGTGGCTTTGCAGATGGGAATCCAAGGGCAGGTATATCTTATCTCGCTTTGAATTTTCCATATCATTTTATATTCCCTTTGTCCCAAAATACAACTCCTCATTTCCTTTTCGGGACGTCCCAAAAAAAGACTCCTCTTTCCAGTTTTGGGAAATTCTCTATGGCTCAAAGTCATTCTCTATCCTATCTACATCACTTCCAACCACACAATTTTACTTTTTTTAAAATTTGTGCCAAACCAAATCAGGATCATTTTTTTGGGACAGAGGGAGTATTATTATGCACATTGATACATGTTGCAATATTAAAGTAGCTACGTTTTATCTGAGTTAGATAATCATTTGGTTATTTATTATTAAAAACTTACTTTATCTGGATTAAGGTGTCCACTTGCTTTTGAGATGTCCGTAATTAATTGTCCACTCGCCTTATTTCGGTATTTAGTAAACAAATTATTGAGAATTATCAAAAACACCCCATCCAAAGAGCGTATAACTAATATGAGCATGTTGCAGTAAATGAAGAACGTGTTAATACTTATATAAGTGACTTTCTTTTTGTTACTTTACCCTCATTCCATAAATTAGATGCATTGTGGAAAGGTGACAACTAAATTCGACCAAAGGGAGTAGTTATTTAGTCAACTTGATATGGTTAATTATTGAATTGTCTTGGGAGTCATAATTTTTTATATAGTCAATCATATAGTCGTGTAGTTGTAGCTTCAATTGCTAATGGAGCTAAAAGAGTCATTTTTGGCAATGTTTTAGTAAATAATGGACTAAATCAAAATGGCACAATAAACTTTCTTTGCTTCTTACTTTCTATGAGTTTTTGGGCAGTAAATGCATCAAGCATCACGAGTCTAATAGAAACAACCTCTCAGTTTTTTGACAAGGTTGCATACATCTTGACCCCTGCTCAATTGGAGTTGGGATTATACTGGGTTTGTTGTTATAGAGTCTTAGTTGTTGTGTATTCACTTACACTTATAATAGGAATGTTGTGCCACATCAACACAAAGCTAGTTAACCGCCTTTGACTTGATCATCACCTTTGCTCTTCGATGCTTTTGGCTTATGGCCATGAAAGGAGTAGCCACTATGCCTGATCGATCTTTTTCAAGGGCCTCAAGGTCCATTGGGCACATTGTAGTACAAGTCAGCCGGGCTTTGAAAGGAGAAACCGGCCTTGAGGTGGTCAGTCTATGCCCCTTTGATGATTTTTCTTCTGGGATCTAGGCTCAGAAGCCACGACGGTAGTTATATGGTAATAACAAGAACAAAATTCTTACCAAATAGTCTAAAACTACTTGCCTTAGACTTGAATCTTATGATTAGGAAGCTCTTTTGTTTATAAGGTTGAGTACTATAATTATTTAATTATAATAGGAACTAAAATATTCAACAAGATGTAATAAGACAACTAAAAAGGAAACCCAATAATAAAGACAGTTATTCCAAGGTGTAAAAGAGGAAACCAGAAACTTGAAAGGGAATGGTTTGCAATGTTGAGTGGGATGATGTATTGTAGCAAAAACACCTACATCACGATCTTGTAAGTCTTTGTCCACAGCATCACACATGCAGCTCCCATTGTATAAGACACTAGGCAAAGAGAACAACTATAAACTACCTAAAAGTGAGTGGTTTGCAAAGTTGACTGGGAAAATTTATTGTAGCAAAATTTTGCCTATGGCAACCATTGTAACCCCAACAAAACAACGCAAACACATTTTCAAAGTCCTTTCCACAACCTTTGTTTGCACATCAGTTCATGGATGGTAGGCTAATCTGAAATGAAGAGAGTTGCCACACATTTTGAGTAACTATCGCCAAAAAGTTCTTGTAAAGATCGAATCCATGTCAGTTATAGTTATTTCAGTAAGGTCTTGAAGCTTGAAGACATTGTCAAAGAACATATGTGTGTCACTAACTGCCGTGGAAGGATGCAATAAGGGAATGGAGTGGGCATACTTTGAGTAAGTTTGACTAGTAGACACAATAGTGGCATTGACTAGGCAAGGGAACAAAGGAGCACCTATAGAATAGGGGTATTGACTAGTGACTACTCCGTGCTTGACTGTCTTGAGGAAGGGCAAAAAAAATATTAAGATATGAAACCAAAAAGTTTAGGTGGTTACCTTTCAGATTAGAATACCACGGCTGAATGAAGATAATTTGATATATGGTTCTATTACTTATGATGTTTTTGTTTAGTAATGGACTAACGGGAAAAATACTTAGAACACAATGACAAAACTATAGATAATCTCCTTTCTATTTTTTATAATGATGTCTAGCTAAATCAAATGAATTGAGTTGCCACCTATGACCTAACAACATATCAAAATTGCAAAGATGGTCCGAATTAAACTCGTGTTGATATTCAAGGCAATATCAAGGAAAATCTGCAGAATATCAATGCTCTTAGACATGAGAAGAACTAGTTGAACATGAAATTGAATGCGCTGTACCAGATCTCTGCCCTGAGCGCTAGTTTCCGAGACAAAGAAGCTGAAATGAAGCGTATTGAAGGGGAAAAGTAGCATATCAAATTGCTCATAGTCTCCGAGACAAAGAAGCTGAAAAGAAGCATATTGAATGGGAAACGAGGCATATTTTTTATCAAATCGCTGCCATTGATCCTAAAATTGAGAAGGATGCAAGATTCAAAAAATATTGATTATTATTATTTTTATTATTCAGTTGTCTGATGATAGGGCCGCTGCAACAGGAGAGCTGAAAAAGATTACTAGATGTACAAGCCACCACTTGTCAGGAGACTTCCTCCATTAACACCAAACGAGACACGCAGCCCGACCACCACTTGTCAGGAGACTTTCGACACAAGGCACCGCTGGCAGACCTTCGGGTCATGTTGTCACACCGAGAACTCCACACAACACAGTCCGCCACTCATACTAATGGGTTTGGGTAACCATATAAATATCAGTTTTCCTTCTCTTGTTCTTCCGGCGTGGGAAGCTAGTTTGCATCCAACAAATACCACTATTCTAGCAGCACTCATTTGTTCCCAATGCCAATATTATCGTGTATAATCACAGAATCAGCAGAGAAAATTCTAAAACAGTTAGGAGATTAAGTTTGCTAACAGACACAATAGAGACTCTGCTTGAGTGATTCCCTTCCTCCCTGGGGCTAATGAGCCTATGTCAGAGCAGGCGCACACCCTACAGCTTTGCTTACACACTCCTGGACCAAAGTACCCAATGTCTAAATAACAAGAACCATTAATATTATTAAAAAAAAGGTGCATACATGACCTCTAAACTGGTGAAAAACAAATACTCCGGGTATTTATCTTCCCTACTCCCTTTTCTCTATCCTGAAGGTTTGTTCACAAGTTATACCTTATATTTCCATCGGCACACATTTCAGCACCATTTGAATAACAATAATTTTTAAGTGAACTTGATACCACAACCTATGTAGTTTCATAGTGGCTGCATGCGTGCTACCCCATTTCATTTATTCCTTGCAGGCTGGAACACAATTCTGGGATGAAAAACTTGAAAAAGAGCTTGCTGAAGGCCGGTTGAGTGGAACCGCCTTTGACAGGTTGGTGTTCTGGTATTTTCCATTTTGTTTTCTTCTTTGGTTTCATTTGGAGGTAGATGCTATAGTTGTCATCCTATGGAATAGGAAGCAATTGGTCTCAAATGGAGAATTGTTACCTTTTGTCTTTTTCTTAAAACGTAATTGCCAGGTATTGCATGGTTCTTTTCGCTGGGATTGCAGCTGAGGCCCTCGTGTATGGAGAAGCAGAGGGTGGAGAAAATGACGAAAATTTATTCAGAAACGTCTGCATGCTTCTTGATCCACCCCTATCTGTGGCTCAGGTGGTACATCTGATCATGATTATTTTAAATAATTTTTGATGAACTCGTCACATACTCACATATTTCGAATCTTGATTTTTTTCTTTCAAAAGTAGATGTCAAATCAAGCTAGATGGTCAGTTATGCAATCGTATAATCTATTGAAATGGCATAAACGTGCACATCGAGCTGCTTTTAAAGCTATGGAGGGTGGACATAGTTTGAGTGTGATCATTAAACGAATTGAGGAAGCCATGTCTTCCAGCAGCAGTTGAACTAAGGAATGCAAGAAAATACATGTCATGTTGGAAAAGGTAATATCTCGCCTGGGCTTCTATTTTTCTCGGTAACATGTATATTGATGGGCACATAGATTTGATGCGAAATCTCTAGACGAGAACATGCAGAACTAGCCTCGAACGACAAGTAACAGAAAAACAAGAAAATCAGTTTTGTGCTGGTACAAGACTACAAGCTAAGGTACTCTTTACTCTAGACGAGGTTGAAATCATTGCTGGTAGTACCAGCTTGGCTAGAGCCTATATATAGCAGGAATAAAGAAAACATAACAAAGATGTAAAAGTTGTTAAGTCATATGAATGATTGAAGATTAAGAACAATGTTTATGAAAACTACTCCTCCCTATTGGGACCACGTGTACCTTCACCCCAAGTTCGCATTAATATGATACTATTGATCGCTTTGAGTCAAAGTCTCACAAAGTTATCATTGGACGCCTCCCGAAAAATTTTACTCCCTCCGTGCAAGAATTATCTTCTCGTTGTGCGTTACTATGTTTGACTGAAGTTATTTTCGATTCATTTTATATGAAAAATAATGTAGAATTTAAAAATAAGAATTATACATTTAAAAACTACATCAAAAGATCTACAAAACTAGATGTTACATGATTATATTATTTTATCAAATAAAAAACGAAAATAGGCCAATAAACTAAATAAAATTTGAGCCTGTGAATAGTGAATGAGAAGTTAATTTTAAGATCGGGGAGCATACAAATTAGTTGAGTTGAACCGTACCCTTAAACATTTGTTCATTTCATTCCAATCGGTGTGAGATGGGTTTGATACCCAAATACCTCCGTCTCAAAATAATTTTCTTTTCTTTTTTTTTTGTTTGTTCCAAAATAGTTTTTACTTTTCTTTCCAGAAAAAAATGTGGCGTAAAAGTTTATAACTATTTTCAGAACAAAGGAGTAGGTACAGGTGGATTTATTGTCCACTAGTAATAGAAGCAAATTTCAGGCAAAAACATCTATTTATATTGGAGATATTTTGATCCCGCTTGTAGGTTGGTATTTAATCCGTCCAACAATTTCTTTCTCGTTTTGACTTGGTACGGGGATTAATTTTTTTTAAAAAAAACTAAAACTTTCCATATTTGCCATTGATGTGATGTAATAAACTAAATAAAGTGAATAGTTTAGATGAAAAGTGGGGGAGTATTGGACTATTGGTACAATCTTTATTAGTTTTTTTTTTACCAAAATAAAAAACGGGAGAGAAATTTTTGGACAGCCCAAAAAGGAAAGTACGAAAGAAATTAATGGAGGGAGGAAGTATTTGGTAAGGCGGTTTTAAGATATGGTCCATCTTTATACTCCGTACTCGGCATTGGGCCCGTTTGAGTATTATAATGCTACCCTTAGATATTTTTTTCGAAATGTTAACACTAACTTATAACGCTATTTTCAAACAAGCTCATTGATTTTATTGAACATTTTGAACTTATAATGATTTTATTGTCCTTTAGCGCGTACTTGTCGTACCGAGTTACCAACAATCCTCAAAGGATGAACTTCATCCACAAAGGCCCTTCAGAATCATAAATTGAGTTTTAATCATAAATTAATGACAAAGAGTGGAGTCCCCATCCGAAGACATTATATATATATATATATATATAACGACATTGTTTAACTATAATGTAAATCTATACTATTAAAATCACAAAATTACGGGTCTGAAAGAAGGCCTAAATTGTTCAAATGTTGATTGAATTAGTCATTTAGATCCTTGAAAAATAGGGCAACAACATTCATAAATGAAAGAAAACAATAAAAGAAATGAAGAATAATGATTAAGCCCGCGAGAGATCACAGTGAAATAATCAATCAAAATACAGGCCGGCCCGTATGGTATGTAATTAAGTAGCTAGAAGTAGTATGGGTATCATGTACGGAGTATAGTTCTGCATTTTTATTGCAGCACTGGTTAAAAATCACATTTAATTCAATTAACTTATGCTACTATATTATATGTATATATAATGTTACTGCATTACCCAAAAGTAGAGGTCCTCCGGCCTTGCGCCGCCGCCTGCATATTCATGTTCATCACCATGCCGGGATGCGGTGGTCCCCGCCTCGGGGAGTGTCTCCCGAGGGTCGTCGGGTCGAATTTGTTCTCCAGTTCTCCGAGGATAACCGTCCCGTGGTCTCTTCCCCCCGCCCCGGGCGGAGACACGTTGAGGGACGGCTTTCGCTCGTAGAACTCGGGGACAGAATCGGCGATCACGATCTCGTTGCACCCCCTCGTGTCGAGAGAGAGCGGGGCGATTTGGATCATGTGGGGCCCGCCGTTGTTGTTGTCGTCGTCGTGCGGCGACGGTCCCAGGCCGCACGATGATGTCATCAGCAGCGGTTGCCCGAGCTCGTCCGCCGACCAGCTCATCATCGGATTCTTTCCGTTTCCGCCGCCGTCGCCCGGCCTTTTCTTCCCCCGCGACGCGGGGGCCAGACACAAGTTATTGTCGTTGTTACCGTTATTGCACAAGAACCCGTCGAGGGAAGAGGAGCCGTCGATGGTCTGCTGGAGGCCAAGGTGGTCGCCGTAGATGTTGAGATCTTGAAAGGTCGGAAACCCGAATTCAGACTGGTGGGGACGGGCATTCCCGGCGAGCTTGTACGGCCCGCCGGACGCCGATGTCGTGGACCCTACATGGTTGTTGGTGTCCCCACCGGAGAGTGTTTGGCATGCTTTCTCCAGGATTGTTTGCATGTACTTTCCTTGAGCTTCAATCCTCAACTGGAGATGCCTTTGTACCTGCATGAATACCCCACATGTTAATTAGTAGAGTCCAATTTTTGAGTATTGTGACAAAATTTTCTCTTGCAAATATTGATTTTTGGTAGATGAAAAGATTATTCAACTTAGAGTTTAACAAAAACTATTTAATGTGTTACAGTACTTTCAAGATTATTAAAAAAAATTCTTGTATAGATCTAAGATCTTTTTTTGACTGTCTATAGATCTAAGATCTAGAAAAACATTATTAAATCATTTTTAAAAAGTAAATAAATAAAAATTTGTTTGAGAATACTCAAGTAGATTTTGTGGACTTTAGATGTAAAATGACATGTGCTGCAAAATCACCATATCTTCTAAAAACATGTAATATTGTGTCCCTTAATTTTTTTAATTGATCCATACAATCGACTTTCTAGATACATTAAAAAATAAATGAATGCAAATATGAGTGCGTATGCAATTATTTATTTTTTTATACATCGGAAAAATTCAACTTAAGGCATTCCATAAAATGCCATATTTCTTTATTTAATCGTCCCATAATTACATTATTTCTTACAAATGTCATCCATTGAAGGTATGTGTACAAGAATGGACGTAACACAGTTCGAAATAAAATAGATAATCTCAATCGAAAATTGTATGGTATTATAATAATAGTGTATAAAAAATAATTATAAAAAAAAACAGTAGAGAGGTTATGAAAAGCAGGGCCCGAAAATATGAAAAAATGAAATTGGTCTTGTGCGAAATTCGTGTATTGAGCCCTATTTTATTTTTTTGGAGTACTTGTGCTATAAATTAGGGATAAATTTTATTTTTAATAACCACTTTTTTAAAAATATAAATTCTAAAATACAAATTTATATTAAATTTAAAAATAACGAATAATTAAAATAATTAATATTTAAAAATATGGGCCCTAAAACTTTGGGCTCTGTGTGGTTGGGCAGTTTGCACACCCTTTGAGCCACTCATGATGAAAAATTAAGAAAAGCACATCAAATAAAAGACGAAAAAGTAATTACGGAGTAATAATGAATGTATCATTTTATAATATCATATTTACCTTCAAAATAATAATAATAATAATAATAATAATAATAATAATAATAATATCATATTTACCTAGAAGAGAGAGTAAAACACATAATCTAAAACTTCCTTAAAAGAACAAAGGAAACAAACTTGGGTCTCACGCTTTACTTTGAGCAAATGGTCTCCACAAACTACAAAGGAATTGCTTACAAAATTAAAGAACCTTAAAGAGAAAAAAAGAAGTCGTCGTTGAAAGAAATTCCTTAACCATTGTTTACTCAAATATAACTAATAAGAACTTCATAGAAGTTTTGTCATCAATAGTTTTATCTTTTAAGTCAGCTGATGACATGCTTTTGTGTGCTTATAAGTTGACTAATAAGTAAAAAAAATGAGTTGGTCTCAACTACTTATTTTTAAGTCAATTTTTTTCATTTCAACATTTTGACCAGATAGATTATTTACAAAATTGTCCCCCACTATTTATGAATATTTATAAATGATTTGTCTATCATTTAAATCATTCTACTTTCACGAAAAAATATTTGACTTATAAGCTAAAAACAGCTTATCAGAAATAAACCATTAATCACTTTCTAATAAAAATATATGTAGTAGTGATTGATATGACTTGTGAGTCCATTTCTAATTGATCTAAAAAGTAATTTTTGTCAACATTAGAGCAATTCACTTTTTCTTATTTTACGAGCTAATACTCCATGTCCCTTATTTAGTAGGCCGTAGAAAATACTACGTAATGATCAATTACTCCCTTTGTACCCCTAAATTTGGGACAAAAGGTGTAAACATGGAAAATAATTAGGTAAAGTGAAATTATACTATTGATATTAAAAATGTAAGTAAGAAAAAATAAATATTAATTGAGGCCACACAAACATATGAAAATATAGAATTAATATGAAAATTAGAGTTTATTATATGAAAATCAGATTATATTGATTATTATTATTATTATTATTTATTCTTGATGTGACTATTGCAAACAATATACTTTTATTTAAACATAAATTTCTTATTGACTTATTTCAAAAGTTCAAATAACATAAACATGAAATTAATATAATAAAAAAGGGGAATTTAAAAAATCACAAAAATGATTTATTTACCTCAAGTTGTTCATGCAGTCTTCTCTGCACCTCCATCTGCATCCTAATTGCATCATTGATTCGAACATTACTACTGCATCACACAATTCCATCTATACATATATATACACCACACAACTAACATTTCCCCAACCAACTATACATTTCGGACTACTAATTAAATAAAATTGATGCTAAAAATATTGATATAAAAATAATTTTATTAGATTTATTTTATACTACCTCCGTCCCAAAAAGATTTACACGTTTTGACTAAAGTTGAAATTAAGAGAGAGATAATTTTGTATTGACTTTCCAAAAATACCTTTGATGTAATGGGTAAAAGTAGGATGTGATGTGTAGATTGTTAGGAAAAAATATGATGTGATAGGTATGGTTTGAAAAAGTAAGGGGTAAAAATGGTTTTTTAATAGAAATGGGTAGGAGATTGTGAGACGCAATTTTTTTTAAAGGTGTAAATTTTTTTGGGACGGATGGAGTATAATATTTGCAAAATATAATGTTCTTTTATCGAATTAGTATAGCATATAATTTTTATTTAATTATCGATCAAATGTTGTGAATGATTGACTGCAAAAACACGACTAAAACTGGACAAATATTCATAGGCAGAGGTAGTATTTAAGTTCTCATTTTTTTAATTAACATTTAATTTTAAAAAGAATAGCAAGAATCTTTTGATCTTGAAACCAAGTTCATATTATCCCAAAGCCCTCGACCCTCCAAAACTCCACCCTAGCCTCAGCTCCCTTCGCCTTTCCCCCTCCACTCACCCTAAATTCCCTATTCGGGGAGGGGAGATTAGGGGTAGGAATCATTAGTTTAAACAACGTGCTACTGGAGATACTTCGGATTATAATATGACTTGGGATTTCAATGTCAAAAGATCCTCACCATAGAAAGAGTGAAAACGTTAATTTTATTCTCAAAAAAAAAAGAAAGTGAAATAAAGAGAAAAGAAAGAATATATATATATATATATATATATATATATATATATATATATATATATATATATATAGAGAGAGAGAGAGAGAGAGAGAGAGAGAGATACTCGTTCATGTTGCGGCCGATCATTCCCGAGGAAGATGCTGATGAATTTCGTTGCAGTTCTAAAGTAGAAGCTGCGGGCGGTCCAAACAAAGTTTAAAAAAAATTAAAAGACTACTCACCCACCCAAAGCAATTACGACTCTTACTATGATAATATATATATTGAAATCAAATCAAAAGCAATATATACTACCCCTCCCTCTCTGCTCATTTTAAGTGATAATAATTGCCACTTTTTTAAAAACAAATAAATAAATTTAAACAGAATTTTACGTTTACATTTATTTATTTTTAAATGTATCAAGAAGATCGGCCAAATCACATTTTGTTTTGTTATTCCTAAAACTCTCTCCCAAATTAGTCTTTTTACATCACTTTTTTTTGTCTAACTTTGACCGCAAAATGTGTACAATCTAATTTTGATATATGAAATTGTTATAAATTAATTTATGTATAACTATAATTACACATGGTCAAAGTGTCGGTGAGCGTGAAATTCAAATCTAAAAATCTTTTTGGGACAAGGAATTAATATTTTTATCGAATATTTGATCAAATAAAGAAATTAATTACTCACGGTATTTCACATTTTGTACTACTACATTTTAATTTAATTTTCTAAATGCCTGCAATTTTTTTCAATTCTCTATTAATTTTTTTAATAAATAAAATTAAAAATGATTTCAATCAAATACTGTAAGGCCCCGTTTGGTACATGGAATTCAAATTATGGAATTAGAATTGAGGACTTCAATTTCAATTCTGGTGTTTGGTAGCACAAAAATTATATAGATTTGGAATTGATAGTGCAAAAAATGAATTGGAATTGGCAGAATTCAATTCTATGGAATTGAATCCCATGGAATTTCAATTCCAATTTCGTCAATTCCGTATACCAAACGGACCCTAAAACACATGGTATAGAAACGGAGAGAGTATGTGGATAATGCTAAATGTACACTAGATTTACATTAAACATATACTACGCGGGAAAATTTGAACGATACAAACAAGTTAAGTTCCGTCATGCTACGAACACATAAAGTGTAAAAATGACAAATTTTGTGAGTATAATTCAAATTTTAGAGGTGAGTGTGACAAATGTAAAATAATGAATACAATGTATGTATGTGTGTGTAGCAATATATATTATTTCCATTAAATAGAATATAATAAATTGAGAACAAATAATGTTAGTTAGTTGTGCACTAATAAGTAAAGTAGTAAGAAACCCACACCTCTCTCAACATCTTTGACAGAAGAGTGATCATTGAATTCCTTGTGTGGCTGCTTTCCCAGTCTAAATTTCTGCATGTAATAAAATATAATTATTTAATTAATCAACCGAACGGACCAAAAGGGGAAAAGTAAAGTGTTAGTTCAATTTAGCTTATTAGCCTTGGCCAAAAAAAATTAAAGAAGAACAATCTCATAACTTAGTGTCAATTTCACTCTTCCATACTTTATTTTACACAAGAAATACATTTTAATTTCCATCACTTAAGAAAGTGATCAATTCAAATCAAATATATATATTAAAATTTTATATCAATATTTGAATAAAGGTTTAAAAATAGTACTCCGTACGTATTGGCCAAACAAATTAATTAACACACGCATAAAGAAATCGGAAATTAAATGTAACGCGCGCGTGCGTTGTTTTAATTTCTAAAAAGCTTTAAATTATTATTATTATTATTATTATTATTAATTAGGAATTTAAGGTGAGTATTGAAATCCCGACATCTACGGACCAACATGTCGATATGATGGAACAAAACTCAATCAAAAACTCAAACCGGCCGTTGACGGGATAGAATCCCAAGAAATGTTTTGTACTCTAACATATTAAAGCTAAGCTAAAAAGTTATGGAATTAGTTTCCATTTTTTTCATTTCTAATGCTATGATCCCATATTCAATCCCAACGACTTGAAAAACAACCAGTTTTTTTTTTATAAAATAATTTTAGAAACAATTACTCCGAAAAAAACAAGAAGAAGAATACGAGGCACGTAGGACGACGATCCGCTCAAATTTGGACACTACGTCGATCTTAAAAATTTGAGATCGAACGTAACTGCTGGACCATCGTCCAACGTTACGTTGCGGGACTTGGAAAAAGAAGAAGAAGAAGAAGAAGAATACGAGGCACTGCACGTAGGTAGGACGACGATCCCCTCAAATTTGGACAGTACGTCGATCTCAAAGTTTGGGATTGAACGTAACTGGACCATCGTCCAACGTTACCTTGTGGGACTTGGGTTGGATTGAAGCTAAGGGAGAAGTGAATATATACATACATACATATATATATATATATATATACCTGGAGGTGGCTCTTCAAGTGGTAGAGGGTGAGACCCTTGACCCCCATCACTCTCATGATCGTCTTTGGTGTGGCTTCTGCAGGTACGTCATCCATCCACATATTCATATATACATGAAATAAAAAGATCAATAATATGTACGTAATTAAAGAAACACACACACACACACACACACACATGTATAGGGTACGATCGACGACATACTGTCAGGACCGCCAAGCTGAGTGACGGCGTCGACGAAGCGCTCATGGAGCTCGACGGTCCAGCGGAGGCGGGGCTTGGGGTCGGTGGTGAGGACGAGGCCGGAGTCCCCCGCCGCCGCCCCTTGTGATTGGACCCCACCACACAGAGCTGCTCCCCCTCGACCACCGCCGCCGCCGCTCTCGTGGTGGTGGTGGTGGTGGTGGATCGAACTCGAAGGATGATTATTATTATTATTATGATGATGATTCATACTTGAAGAAGGCTTCTTAATAATATTCTGCTGCTGCTGCTGCTGGAACATATCAATTATTCCCCTCCCCCCTCTCTCTCTCTCTCTCTCTCTGTGTCTGTCTCTGGCTAGAGATCAGATTCAAGAGAACAAATGCGTTTGGAATACAAAAGTAGACAGATAGAGGAGGAGAGAATTGGTTCTTTATTAATTCGTTCTAGCTGCTGCTGCTAATAATAATAATAATAATAATAATAATAATAATAATAATAATAATAATAATAATAATAATAATAATAATAATAATAATAATAATAATAATAATAATAATCCGGAGTAATAAAATACTTTTGCGCCCCCCGGAGAATGAATGAATATATGAAGCCGGGGGGGGAAGCTAAGCTAAGCAAAGGTAGGCGGCCCTAATAATAAGCAAAGCTATCACTTGGTACGTACGTAGAGCCGCTTTTGATTAATTGACCATATGTCTGTCTTGTCTTAATAAGAAGCTAATAAGTAATTTAAAAAGTGCGTCATAATTAATCACAGTAATAAAAAAAAAGTCGATCTTCTTGTTCTTATTACTTCCTCCGTCCCTAAATACTTGCCACACTTGTATTTCCGAGGCAAAATATCAAGTTTTTTCAATTCATTTTATTTACAAATTGGTATAGAAATAAAAAATAAAATTTACATATCAAAAAACTACATGAAAAGTTTTTCGAAATAAAAGGTGTCAAGAATATTTTATTTTATCAAATAACCAATGAAAACGTAAAAATAAACAAAAGTTCCCGCGACGTTGAAAAAGCAAACGTTGCAAATATTTAGGGACGGAGGGAGTATTAATTGCTCTTTAACTGATCATTTAACTTAATTATTAAAGATTAGTTAGAAGAAAAGATAACACTTAACTGATTATAAGTTCTATGGCTGCACTTTAGTTCCCTTTTTTGTATGTGTATTCAAACATACATTACCTTAATTTTACAAATCCAAGTAAAGTAAATTAAAGTTAAGTGCTCCCTCCCTCCCTCCCAAAATCGATCTTCTTTGCGTTTAATAATCCTTCTTGGTCAAATTTTATTCCCAATGTAGAATTAAAACATAAGTCATTTCCGAATGTAGTACTTAAACTTTTTTATTCCCTAAATAGGACTTAATAATGTCTAGTAAGAAAAATAATGTCCAAGTGATGTTGGACATTTAGTTGAATAATGACTAATAGATAATGACCAATGGTCCTACATTATGAAATAAAACATATGGTCATATATTGAGAAATTCATTATGTTTTAGTCCTATTTAGATAAATTATCCTTTATTTAATTTGATCGTATATTTAATTATAATGATAATTTAATATAATGTGATTAATTTTAAGATGCAGTTTTTGGTAAATCATTTTTTATGGGGAAGAATTCCCTAAACATGCATGAGCCAACTATGATAAAAAAAAATATCAAAACAATGATACCACTTTTTTTGTAATCTAAATAAGAGTTCACATTGTCGCTCACGATTCACTGTCACAATAGATTCGCTGCCAGCCCCCCGTGCTGATGGATCGATCTCCATTGGTCGGTGGTCCACCATGCCACCACACTACCACCAAACTCCATCAACCTATCAAAGTCCTAGTTAGATGATAAAAATAATGACACTTCTGTTTTGCCGGTTTTGGGTAGAAAAAGCAATTGAAATTGGGAAGGATATTATAGTGTTTTGGTGTATTAGTTTAACCAAAATTGAAAGTA